GATAACAGCAACAGAATACTGGAGAAACTGTATAATTGTTAAGAACAAAAAGTGAATAAACTAATGCTTTGGATAAAAATGGAAAATCCTGTTGAGGAAAAGAATAAAAGGGATTCACTACTCCACTGAAAAATGTGGATAAGTTAAACTAACAGAAAAAACAAAAAAGACAAAAAATAATTTAAAAAAACCCCACATATTTCCTTGACTGAGGTAATCACAGTAAGCAGGATTCGTGGTAACCAGGTATAACAAGATTTCTTGTAATAGTCAGTGGACACTTAAAGACATAAAGACAGGCTTTCCTCAACTTGCATCTGGCTTCTTACTGAGACTGTGAGAAACAAAAAGCAATCTCCGCTTGTTCATCCAATGAACTTAATGTTGTTCTACGAAAACACAACATTCAGGTGTATCCGAGCTCAGACCTATTTCTACTTTATCATCAGAAAGAGGTGGTATTTATCATTTTTGCTGCCCACTTCTAGTCTTATGGGTCAGTCACACTTCAGCGTGAGCCATAAGGGAGCTTGGTGTTGCAAAAAACTTGTAGTTGCCCGGTGATTCCGAGACAGGTCACCTGGCAACGTGTCTCCAAACAATCTTGGTCTGGCCTGGAGTGTCTGCAGTCACTCTCAGACAGACAAGAAAAAATATGCAAATAACCCCAGTCTAATTTATAAATGCAGACAGATTACAAACATGTTGCACTTAATCTGAGTCAGTCTGCTCCAGTGAATGAACCTCGTCTCCCATGCGTCTGTTAGCAGTAGGAGACTCGACTCAGCTGGTTGTATTCTGGTTCTATTCCTAAAGCAAGGCTGCGAGCACCTACACAACTACATCACTATTTGTTCAGACGTTTTTGAACTTGTGTTTCAAATCTCTATCGTCTTGGCTTGACTTTGAATCTAAGTAGTTCGTTTGAAATTATGTTAAATGTAAATTTCTGTCCGCGCAGATCATTTTTGCTGACTTGTTAAAAATATAATTACTGTGTTATAACAGCTTGCATGTAATTGCCAACTTGACCCCACTGACAAACCTGATAACAGACTCACTCCATCTTATTGCCATTTTAAGCTACTGTGAAGATGACGGCTGACTGTGAGCGGTCGCAGACCCCGTCCTCCGTCCTTGAAGCAACGATTTCAAAGGCAACAAAATCACAAATTCCTTGCACACAGTCTCCAGCCACGGTTTTCTCCAGGGTGACTGTAGCCTTACTGACCACTACATGTGACATTCACACCGAAGTTTAGTGAAAGCCTCACAACCATACCTGAGGTAAATTTCAAATGAACAACCTCTGGACTGGAGAACCTGGAAAAAAATATAGAACATCCTGTATTGCCTCCATGCATTAACACAATGTTTCCCAATCAAGGCATGCATTTAATATGAAGATGATTTAAAATCAAAGCTGAAAAGATGTTTGTTTGTGTTCAGCGTGTAAAGTCAGAATTATAGTTCCAACCCTGTTATCTTTGTTATTATGGTATCTACCGTGCCAGTAGGCAATCAAATTGGAAGACCTTCAGTTAAATTAAAGCCTCTCTTACATGTATCAATTTGGCTCTGCTTCAGGCAGTAAAGACTGCTGTAATGGCTCGCCAGGGTCTGATAAGGATCAAGGGCTCATCAAAGTGTCTGAGGAGAATGTGAGCGCTGTGCAATTTGAGGACCATCTTTATGTTAACTGTTTATACCCTCAGCCTTGGATATGGGAAAAAGGGAAAGGATCAGCCAGTGACAAATATGTTCTGCAGTCGTGATTCACTGGAACTACGGAACGAACCCCTATTTATAATGGCCTCTGCACAGCCTGCAGCGTATTCTAAAAGCTTAAAGTATAAATAAATGACAGCAGCGTTACCACTGTAAGGAAGCACTGCGCTTTCAGTTTTCTGCCCATTTTGTGGTTTCACACATTCCCTACTCTTTAGATAAAAGGCCAAATATAGATAATGCACCGCCACATCAGTATACACTAGTTACTCCAGCAAAACAGACTTTGATCTGAAGTAACCACAACGAACGTGACGATTTAGTGTCAGTTCCATTAAATCCATGTGCACTGGCGTCTAAAACTGTCATTTTGCACAGCTGAGTAATTACATAGGGGTGGTGGTGGTGGGGGGTGGTGGTGGTGGGGGGTGGTGGTGGTGGTGGTGGGGGGATATATATAAAGGGAAGCCAATGTCTTTTTCAAATGGAGCAAAGCAGTAACTGCCACACTGAAGTATCATACTAAATGTGTGTGACAGGTAAAGAGCGAGCAGAACTGTTAACACGCTCTTTACAAACATTCACTGGATCTTAAACCACATATGTGTCATTTGGGGTAACCGATTTACTCGTATGCAACCCTGCAACGAATAACTGCCATGCTAATCTTTGACTGTTAACACACAGCTTTACTTTATGAGATGTCATAGTATGACATCGCACTTTCTGCCAGTGATTTAAATTGCTTACGGAGTGCTGAACGCTCATGACTAAGATGAAACCTTATTGGGCCAGTTTATGCCACTAATATGTCAAATGTAAGTATTTTATAAAAGCACCGTGTAAATGTGCCATTAAAAGGAGACTGAGACACATAAATTAGACCAAATGAAAGCTCCAATTCTCTTGGCCTTTGAAGTAGAAACAATTGTTGACACACATAACACTCTTTAAATGCTGACGGGAGCGCAGCCCACGGACAGCTATGCTGCAGACTTTGCAGGAAAAAAAACATTTTATGCCTCTTAAAGATGTTATGTTTGTGCTTACTGCACTCTGATGCATTCACAAGTGAAAGCACTGCCCTGGGCCAACCGAGACGTTTAATTCAAATCCACTATCTTCCTCTTTCTGGCTGGCCCGGTATGTAAACCTTCAATTTCTCTGATGGTTGTGATGAAAATAGCAAGAACATGCCAGAGTTCTGCGCACTTATAGGTGACTACAGTGGTGCAGAAAACACTTGTTTTTTTCTCTGCCCATTGCTTCATTTGCATTTTAACAGGCACAATAAATCATGTGCCATGTATTCAGTGCTGAGGGGGTGGGGTGGGGTGGGGGGGTTCTTACCGAGTGCTCTCACTGAGGGAGAAAGCACAAATCTACCTGTCAGGGTGGACTACACAAACATTTCTCTTTACGGGCTTGTCGGGTACAGTACTGAGACAGGTTTCCAGACGACTGGTGATAAACAGACCGCATGTGATAAAATATTTCACTACACACATTTCTGAGGAATCAATAAGACTGCAAGATATGTGCAGTTGTACCCTGATGAAACACCTTTATATCAGAAGTTAGGTTTGAGTCCAACCGTGCAACTCTGCCCGTGGGTTGCAGTATCTTTACAAACTTGTGCTGTAAAACACGCAGAAATGCAATAAAAAATCTTCCAGCACTTGCTTTACATTTCATGGATTGGTTCAGCCATAAGTAAAACAGCCAAGTCTAAATAAAAAAATATTAATTTTAGAGTAGAAATACAGTTTAAGACATTTTAACAACATTTATTTCACCACCAAATAGTCTCAGAACAGTTTGTGTTTGAGATTCAGTGGAATGCTGAACATTGCAGTGATTAAAATAACCATATGCATGCAACAGACTGTAGAGAAGCAAACACAGTGTCCCCCTCATCTGTAAAGGAAGAAGCCCAGTTCAGG